ATCTTTTATATTTGCAACACCCTGACAGGGTCATGTACCATACTATAATTACAGTATAACGCCGATTATCCGAACGACGATTAACCGAAGCGATAGTTATCCGAATCAGTCCTAAGCGTAATATAAAAAATTCAAACCAAGTTATTTTTAAATCTAAAGAAAAGTTTACTAGAAAAAAAATCCACGCGGACCAGGCAGTGGACGGGACTCGAACCCGCATCATTCGCTATCCGGGCGAATGCACTGACCATTATACTACCACGGCCCTATTAGCCGCGTCGAAATTTTCCCAGCCTTAAGCTGCAAGGCAGCGCCCTCTCTTCGCATTGTAGGTAACCCACTTTGTCAAATGAATACTTTTACAAGTATTAAACATTTGAAAGAAGAAATAGCAATTATAGTTATAATTTTTATTATTTTTAAAGCACGTAACAGCTTGAAAGCAGACTGCTTGGTCAGTGCATTCGCCCGGATTGCGAAAGGTGCGGGTTCTAGTCCCGTCTGCTGCCTGGTTCTCGTGGAATTTTTTCTAGTTATATTTTCTTTAGATTTAAACATCAAGCAGTTAGGTACATGCTTTAAAAATAATAAAAATTACAAGTTATTTTTGTTTTGTTTTGTTGTAACAAGTTGGAACTCGCTGGAGACCAGATATGTTTTTTCTATTATGGTTGAAAGCTAAAGGCAAGACACTACATGTTTTGCGTGGCGCGGTTTTTTTTTTGCTACTATGTACCTCTATTATTGTATTTAGTATTGTAGAACTGTGTTTATTAAACTTAAGGGGTTTATTCTATGTGTGGCAGTTTGTTTTTCTTTATTAACAGTCTATGTCTGATTATCCGAATCGGCCCAGCAATTAAAATGCAGGTGATCAATTAATGTTATTTCGCATTATTTAAAGAAAGGTGACTGCATGAATCATCTCTGAAGTCATTTTACAACTTGACGACACTGTAAATAATAAAACAGGGAGAAAAAAACAGCCCTTGCTGAGTTTTTTACCGGTTCTTCTATATATTCTATATTCTATAGCGGGTGACCTTGTACTGACAAGGTCTCCCGCTATAGATTTACGAACCGATGGCGTACCGTAAAACTGTACAACTTTGCCTAGATCTTTTATTCCACTTCAATGTTTTTGAAAATTTTTTTCAAATAATAATATTTTAATTTGTGATCTTACTATATCGTTCATAAATGTAATACTCTTTGCATTGAATTACGATAGTAACGAGAAAATGAATCTCTATGTGCTAAAAATTTTAATTTGGATAGCGGGCCAAATATTTATAACTTTTTACAAGTTTGCCCATTTTGCGGAAACCTTCGTAGCTTCAGTATTTTTAACCTTAATATAATAGAGTTTAAGGACCATTTTAGGAAAATAGTCAATCTGTCATAGGACCTTCATAATAAACGTATAAACATTCTTATTACCTATCAAACTTAAGTGGGCAAAGTCGCAAATTTTATTTTGTGATTTTTCATACAAATAAATCGATCAACTAGGGTTGTCACTTTTTATTGTTAATCAGTACAGAGGGGTTTGCAAGTATGTACCTAACTACTAAGAAGCATTTGCTTTAAAACGTGCTTGCTCAAACTTTTATCTTATTTTCAGCAATCACGTTTTAAAGCAAAAGCTTATTAGTTATAATGCAAACAATATATAAGATTAATATAAAACTTGAATAAACGTAATAGCAATATTGAATTTGACAAGTGAAATAAAACTATATTGAAGATAAAGCTTTCAAAAATTAACGATATACCTAAAGCCGTGTATCCACTACAGGCAGCCTCGCGTCGAGCGGCCTCGACTTGAAGCAAATAGCCTCAGTTTGAGGCTGCTCGCTCTGAGGCAACGGCTACGGATCAGCTCGAGGCGTGTCGCCTCAGCTTGATCCGCCGGCGGCGCACTGCGCAGTTAAAAATCAAAATGCGATGGCACCAGACGCGCGTCGAGTAGCTGCTGCTTTAATAACAATAACCATTATTAAGAAAAAGAGGAGGCAACAAAAAGCTATACAAAAGAGAGAGACAGCGGCTCATTCCCCATTGCGATGCAGGCGACGGGCGCGACCGTCTCCATTAAACATACGGCTCGGACTGAGGTGCCTTTGAGCACGGCACAGAAACCGACAAAATATGGCTCGGCTCGCGGCGACGATTTTGCCTCGCGTCGCGGCGTGCCTCAGGTTGAGGCAGCGTCTCCACTTGCGCAGCCTCGGAGTGAGGCAGCCGCTCGACCCGAGGCTGCCTCTAGTGGATACGCGGCTTAACTCTTTAGCTCAATAGCAACTCTTATCATATCTAAGTACGTATGCTATAGGTTATTTTTTCTATTATGGTCACAAAGCCTAATTTGCAGGACGTCTATAAAGCAAATCGCCTAAAATCAATGTCTGAAATGCAGAATGTCTATGAAGCAAAACGTCTAAAAACATTATGTCATCTAGAAAGCAAAAAGCCTATGAAACAAAATGCCTTAAATCCTTTAAATTAGATGTAGCAGAATGAATAAAGATCTTAACTAACGCCTCGGCGTTTGTTATACTGATCCATAAGCCATAAATAATTTTGTAAAGCATAATTTAAATATTTTATTTATACTTTTTAAGCTTCTTTAGTCATTTTGCGTTTTAGGTGGCTTGCATTAGCAAGTGGTTGGTGGTTGCATTATATTTATTATATATTTTCTTTAGATTTAAACATCAAGCAGTTATATGCTTAAAAAATAAAAAAAAAACTATAATTGCTATTTCTTCTTTCAAATGTTTAATACTTGTAAAAGTATTCATTTCACATTGTGGGTTACCTACAATGCGAAGAGATGGCGCTGCCTTGCAGCTTAAAAGAATGACTAGAGGAATTTCGATGCGGCCATCGGGGCGCCGGTTGCATAATTGGTCAGTGCATTCGCCCGGATAGCTAAGGGTGCGGAGTCGAGTACCGTCTGCTGCCTGGTCCGCGTGAAATTTTTCTAGCTATATTTTCTTTAGATTTAAACCTAAGTAGGTACTTTGTTTTAAATCTAATCTTCTTAGATCTAATTTAAGATTGAGGTGACAACCCTTACGGTGATATTATGGTGGGCAAAGTCGTAACAACTACGATAGAAAAACTAATTTGAGATTACCCACCATCATATTTTCGAATTTAAGAGAGACTTCGCGTTGGATGTACGATCATTTATTACAAACTAACAGTGGTTAAAAACTTATTTATTTGCTGTGATAATAAATTAAATTTTACAAAATGTTTTCCACTCAACTTTTGGCCCGCAAAAAACACCACCAACTTGGAAACAGTTTGACAGCCGACTGAAGTGTAATAAAGAAAAATCAGTTACGTAATATTGCCAGAGACATGTTGAAATTTCTTACATAGATTAAAAATGGGTGCGTGTACTTATGTAGGCGCGTGAGAAGTTATCCTTCTTTGGCATCGTTTAAAATTAGTTTTTAATTGCATGCAAATAATTAATTACTTTAAATTAATAAAAAGTCTGGAAAAGGACACAGTCCTTCACAATAAAGTTCACTTTTAATTTGAAAAAATAAATAAATAATCCGAAATATTCAATTAAAATCGCTACTGAATATAATTTATTAGAACATATGTGATTTGCACTTGTATGAAACTCAAACACGTATTCCGAATATACAAACTAGAAACATGTGGATAAATATTATAAATATGAATACCTATAACTGTTACTTTATTACAAAAAATAAAGATGTGGTTTTTGGTTCTACTACATCAATGGTCAAGAGATGGCGCTGTAGTCTCCTGAATCGCGCTTTGGTTCCGTTGTTCCAGATTAATAAATACTTTTGATAGGCCTTCACAATGCAGTCGTTAGCATAGCACCCACTAAATAGAGATTCTATTTCTATTTTGTTGGTAGATTTTGTTAATGTGCAGTAAACACAAAAGTAACGCATGAAGTTGGTCGCTAAAGCGACCAACTTAAAGCGACCAACTTCATGCTGTTAAAATTTTGTGTTACAGTGATGCGCGCGCATCTTAAAATTTCACTCTCATCATTTTTCATAACGCGCCTAAAGAAGTATAACTTCAAAAATTAGACGCAACTAAAAAATGTTGCCGGTTATTTTAATATTTGTAAAAAGTACCGTGCTGGGCAAAGTTAGATTAGTTGGGCAATCTTGTAAGGTTTGTCGGTAGCTTCTAGACATTCATGAGTGCTTGTAACAGCCTAAACTGAATAAATGATTATTATCTATATATTTTCGATCATTTTACTGTAGGCACATAAACAAGGATACTTTTTGTGTCAGGGGGAAAAGATAAGAATGTTAATTTATTTTCTTTGTTACGGCTAAACGACGTGGCACCCAAATATAGAATTTTAAAATTTTTGTCGGGCGGCAGCAGTGTCGATCATCGATGGCAACCCTAATTATTTCATAACTACGTCTGAAAAATAAAGCTCATCCAAAATATTTATATTAACACGAAGTGACGTACGATTGCTATCTTTTAACAAAAATTGATCAACAAACCAAATTAATATAGGAATATAGGTAGGTATATTGTAAAAACTAAGATTGTCAATATGTTGCGTAGCACAGATCGGAACTTGGTTTAGGAATTCTAACCTGTTTTAAAAGATATTTATCATTGTATGAAACACAAAACAAATTGATCAATTAATGTCAAGGCCAAATTGGTAAAATAAATTTATAGCGCCTTATATGTTTCATGAGTTACGTATTGTGTTGCTGTCGCAAATAAATGGACAGTATCATCTTTAATCACACTCAAAAGTAAATTGACGTCATTCAGTGCGCTAATAACAGGTTCATTCAAAATACAAATGTCTCTACTTTCATTTATCGACACATACACGACATAAACCTTGCTTGAATAGCAAAGCTTTATGATTTCCACAAAATGTAATGATGCCATCACTAACATAACCGATTTCTTAATTGATATTGTTAACAGCATCCTCTGCGAAGTTACGTAGAATGGCAACAGTATTAGCGATGAGTACCACTACATCACCGAAGAGTACTCTGGCCAAACTGGTCCTAGGTCCGAAGCCAAAACCATTCAAGGTCATGGTTCTTGGTCAATCTGGAATTGGCAAATCAGGTAAGTGATGACTATCAGCATCTTTAGTGTTTAATATTTCTCACGTTTAGTTCTCGCTAATGAAGGAAAAAAATGAAAGTGCATACGTGGGCTGCTTAATTACCCGCCCAGATAATAAAAGTAAATCAAAGAACTGTGAAGTATGAGAAACTTTTGAGTAAACTTATTCCAAATTGACACTATTGTTACCGAGCAACAAACAATAAGTTGTGATAGAGTAAGATCCGAAGACTGCCAGACCTTACTTATTTTCTCGTGAACAAACTATGAATAATTGTGTAGTATTAGTGTGTACAATTAATGTATACATTTCTGCTAACTTGTGCTGTGGGCCAAGTTTTAATTATCAGGTGGCACGGGCACGTAAAAATTTAATCATTTTACTTACAGTCTGAAGACTGATTGCGCCGTAGAGAATATCGTAAACAAATTGAAATGAATACTGCCAGACCCATTCTGTCAACAGTTTTTATTGCTAGACACTTGTAATATCGAAAGCAAAAAACACAACCTTACTTATTCTGCAATAATTTCTAAATTAGACCATAATATTTTTTTAAATTAATGTAAAAGGCTTCCTTTACTTACACTATTTATATGATAACTGTAAGAAGCTGTATTTGAAAATCACTTAATTACCATGAGCGCACCTTTCTCACAGTGGCACTTTAAATAAGCTTAGGGATTTTTTTGCCCCTTACATTGGTCTTGCAGCTTACAAAATAGCCCCCTAAATATCCTAGATAAATATCAGGTCTCAGACTGTAAATAAGTTTGTGTTTTTTGCTTTTGTCATTTAAAGCGCCTGGCAATAAATACTGCTAACAGAATGTAACTGGCAGTATCAATTTCAAATTGTTTATAATATTCTCTACACCTAAGAGTCAGTCCTCAGGCTGTAACCCTCTTATTAATAAACGAAGAATATGCTTGGATTAATTACTCCAGGTTTTGTCTTTGTTCATTGAATGACAAATGGCATATGAGTGACATGAACAAAACATGGCGTAACTAATCTAAGATTTTAATGTGCCTATGCACCCTGATACCTAAAAATTTATCTACGGCACAGATTAGCGAGTATGTAGGTATATGTTCATTGTACACACTAATACTATTCAACTATCCATATTTTGTCCAAGAGAAAATAAGTAAGGTCTAGTGGTCTTTGGATCTTGTACTATGAGTCAAATTCACTAAACAGGGAAATTGTGATCCAAATAATTCAAAAAGACAAATTTCTTGAAGCGTATTATGACTAAGCAATCGGGAAATACTTTTATTACAAATATCGGACAACCGATTATAAAGACGAACTGCTTACGAAAACAAATTCGTGTTGTGCAAGCTCTTCTGTAGTTATTGCTTCCAGTATCTATTAATCAGCCGATATTATCACTCCAAGAACAAAATACAATTAATCAATTTATATTCTGAATTAAGTCAGTACATTTTATCTATAGATATACTACCTATACTATTATTGTATTTGATATAAGTTTTTTAAACAAAGTAGAGCTAAGTAAAGCTCTATATGTATTTAGTTGTATATGTCCATAGCAACTGCCTACTTTAGTGTAATAATTTATTCTGTAGAGGAAAAACCCTGAAAAACCACGACTAACAGCCTGTCCTGTCCAATACATATCTCATGATGAACACAAACAAGCAATAGATAATAGGGCAGTAACCTATGCTAATGCTTATTGACAATAATGAATATTTTGCAATATATATGTGGGCAGTTATCTCTTCTTATCAGTTCGTTTTATCTCTACTTTATCATTTCTTATCTATTTAGGAACAAAATTATTAATATTGAATTTGGTCATGGTCACATCAATGTCAGGGCCATATCCTGAGATATGGCTGAGAAGATATATTTAAAAATAGAATAATAACTCTGAAGTTATTATTCTATATTTAAATATATCTTCTCAGCACTCGCCCATTTATTTTCTCGAAGCAGTGGTAGGGATAAATTAATAACGGGACGTTTAAAAGCCCATGTATAAGCCTATTTGCAGAAGTGCTATTCTGTAAGAAGAAACTTTTCACTGCGGAATTCGCCGGTATTATTTGAAATTTATTTAAAATTCGTGTTCTAATTTTAAATCACATTGCGGATTTCGGGGTGGAAACTTGGTGGAAAGTGAGTTTGTTCATCAAAATAGCACTAAAGCAAAATAAAATTTCTTATTTAGGTTTTTACAAATTATAAAATAACAATAATAGTTGAAACAAGTCTCAAATTCCTAAAAGCAAAAACTCATTTACTTTCACTCTCATTAAACTTATAGTTTAATAAGAAACTTGTTTAAGAGTATTTTTAACTCAAAGCAAAATTAAAAGGGTTGTCTTAATTTTTTCAGCTTTGGTCGTCCGATTCATTACACGCCGGTTTATTGGCGAATATGATCCCAATTTGGAGAAAGTGTACACTTTCCAGACGGTTATCGATAACGAGATGGTGTACTTCGAAATTTTGGACTCCGCTGGCGACTCTCATGTGAGTTTTTGATATACATTATGTTACTTAAAAAGTGAAGCGTAATAAATCGTTAATAGGATATAATTAAAAATCGTCGAATTTTTTATCCCTTTTATTTTAACTTACACGTTAGATTTTATGTGTATACAGGAAAGTGAATACGCAAACCTGGAGAGCAACATCCGCTGGGCGGAGGCATTTATTCTGATGTACTCGGTGACCGACAAGTGCTCCTTCGACGAATGTCATCGGCTGAAATTCCTCATCAACTATAACAAACGGAGGCGGCGACTCACAGCCACGAAGGTAAACGATTATAGAAATTATAAAAATGTTTAGTCCTAAGGTAATTATTACAAGTAGAAAAGGGGTGATAACCTAAGGTGATAATGGGGAAAAGTGAACGAAATTTTATTAAGTCCTTCAGTAAGCATATCTTAAAATATAATAGACACTTATTTTTTTTTTGTCAATCAACATTTTTTTTTAATAATTAAGCGCGTCAAAGTTTGTGCGTGGGGCATTTCTATTTGGCATTTCTAAGAAAAAATTGTAACAAGGCTTGACGTCAAATCAATATATCCCTGTAATGTTTTGATTATCTGATACAGGCTCTATCTTATCAACTCGGCTCGATCAGGCTGAATTCAAACCAGCGCCTTTTGCTATCAAGCTTCTTAATGCCTGCCTTTAGATTGAACTCATTTAACGCCGGGGATAATTTTGGGAAAACAACACTATTTTGCCATGGACACGGACACACCCACGGCAGCACCAGGCTGGAGGCCACCACGGAGGCTTGTAAAAATTACGATCTGCATCACATGATGATGATGACATGATGACATATCAGCGGCGCGGGGCAACACCTAAATTTGATGTGGGCAAGACAGATTTCGCGAGGCCCTGTTCTGTGGCGACCTAAAGACGGATGTTATAAAATAATAAAAAAAAAGAAATTCGCTTTTAAGCAATGCATAAAAATTTTTGAGGCGCGAGGCCCTTTGTACCGCGAGGCCGTAGGCGGTGGCCCACGTCGCCCACGTCGCCCACGCCTTACGCCGCCTCTGATCACATCTGTATCTCTTAATTTAGTTTTACAGTAAACCAGTCTATGGAAAATCCCTTTTTATTTATTTCAACCACTTACAACACAAAACTGCTAAAGTGCAGTTATGATTATTAAATAAAATTACGAAAACCGACGAGGCCGTATTTAATTGGACCAATGTTTCGAATGTTAACTTTTACTTTTAATTGTCATTATTTTTAATAAATGCTTATCTCATATTATTATTGTGTTAATTTTTTCGCAAATGGTACAAAAAGGGTATTTTCCTCGGTGATAAAGCTGTCTTAGTCTTGGGTGAACTTAAATCCCTCGCTACACTCAGGACTCATCATAAATCCCTATAAGTTTTTAACACCCTCGCTACGCTCGGGAGTAAACCTCAAGTCCTTCGTTACGCTCGCGATTTAAATCGTCACCCGCGACAGAAGACACTGCTTTATCCCCTTGGTTAATAATATACTATTAAAATGTATACGAATTAACATAGAAACATTATAGATATTAACGGGATTGTTACCTTGTTTTTTATGAGTCTCCGATATTTCGGCACTGTTGCAAGCGCCATGATCACGGAGTAACTGAAGTAATTGCGGGTAGATGTTATTGGCAGACATATCGGTCTACCCTCTGACGTCGTCTTTTACTGCGTTCGATACTACCACTACCACTGGTCACATTCTCAATATTCACTCGCATTTGTTCCCGACACACAATACTCACAGTATCAGATCGCGGAAGGACACTTTTTTGATTTTTGCGGTTTTTACACATACGAACCACTGGATTCCACACACTAGACAATTTAAACCCATCCTCACGATTGAAATTCTTGTGTTTGGTTATTTCAATCGCTTCCCTGACCAATCTTGGTATGTAGTGGCGTTCTGTCGAGATAATTTGTGGATTATGGAGCTCAATCCACGGACGGATGCCTCCCCTGGACCGAATCTTTCGCGACAACTTCCTCTCGAGCTCTGGTTGTACGCTGACTAACCCCGAAACGCGCGAGAACCACTTCACGGGTTTTTCACCATGCGCACGGTGGTAACAAACCAGGCGGGTGTTAGACACCCTACCACCAGAAGAGCGGATGGAAGCTCCGATATCCCTTACTCGCTCCTTACGACACCCACGGGAAGAGAAGGGGCGGTGAGTTGTATTCTGTCTCCGTCACCGCACGGATAAGGTCGATAAGGTCGATTATTCTCTGGGATCTTAATGTTACCAAAGTAGGTTCTTAGCCAATGTTGATATTTTTAAGTTTGTCGTGAAAATATAAGTAGAAAACTTCTCAAAAAATTACTAATTATTCGTCCTATTCGAAAAATAAATCTTATTAATAAATAAATAAATCTTATAAATTAAAATAAATAAATTTTGAACGGAAATTGTATTTTTTAATTATTAGTTTTATATTTTTTGTAATTAAACATATATTTACTAAAACAATGTATGTCCTTGTTTGTTACGGAGCAACTAAAAATATATCACCGAAATGTTCTGAAATACTGCATAAAATTAGTTAATTCTGTGTTTATTGTGTTCGCTATTGTCCCAACTAAGTTTTCCCTCCTCCTCGTGGGTCCACCAACTTGTTCCACCTTGTATACTTATTCAATCTACTTATGTGCTGTTTGCATGAAAGATTTAATGTGAAAATTCCCATTATCCTAGGATATCGCTATGCTTACACTTGTTCTATGGAAAACTAAGTTCCGTAAAATTTGGAATACGTGATGATGTTTTTGTTTGGAAATCTCATCATACATACATCACATCATACATCATATTTATCGACGAATCCGGGCAAATTCCTAGTTCATTATGATTTTTTATAATGTGTTTTTCTATCGAAGCTGATTTATTTCATAAAAAAGATATTATTATCATAAATAAGCTTGTTCAAATATTTCATGACTGCAACTGCAAGTCCATAATATTAATGATATCGTCAAAGAAGAAAAAATCGAGAAAACAGATACAAATACAATAAAAAAACCTTTACTGACATAATAGCTAATAGAAGAACTATGCATATCAATAACCATCCCATCTTAAAAAATGCGAGACGATAAAAAATCATACAAAAGTTCGCAGCTTTTACCGTCATAACATAAAATATAATCGCACCTCAGGAGAGAAAGGTCGCAAAGCCACAACGAATTTCTCGCTTGAATGAAGACAGGCCAACCTTCCTACTTGGGAAAGTATTTCACAGCTTAAGGAAAATTGTAGGCAAATAAGTAACAATATTGATTGTAACTATGTGTTCTTCTTGCAGTGAATATGGTTTTCTGAATCAGAATAGGTATATTTACTTTATACGAGGCGCAGCAAATTTCTACACCCTATCTGATATTATATGTAAATTGAGTCCAATCGAGTGTAAAGCATAGCGGACTTTCTGCTCGAATAAGAGCGCTTGTATGGGGAATTGACTTCTGCCTTACAAAAAACCACAGTGAAATAACGCTACCTTTTGGGGGTGTTGTGTTTCTACCGGTGAGTAAGGTTCCAGAAGGTTCCAGCAACGACACGAGTGGTGTTATCGGTATCGCAAGCGTCGATAGGCTATGGTGGCTGCTTAAAAGCAGGCAGGCCATATGCTTGTTTGCGCGATTATAACATAAAAATGTTAGTTGATGCGGCAGAAACCTGGATGTGGCGACCCTAACCCCGTGCCCTGAAGTCTTACTGGCCTTACTCACAGTATTAAATCCATAGACAATAACACTACCACCAAAAGGTAGATTACCATATTACTTTACTCATAAGTGATAGCAATAAAACGTCAGTTTTATTATCCATGCGATTTACTGTCTACTGGTTGCGCTAGATAGCTGTTTACATTACACTCGCACTAGATAAAATACATATTATGTACTTCGTGCGGAAAATCTAATCCTTAAAGAATCGTGTTGGCACACTGGTAGTGGCTAGTGCGACTCGTATATTGTCGCCACTGGATTCAAGATTTTACTTGGAAGGAATTTTATTTAATAGATTAAGGCCATTTTAAAAGTAAACAAAAGAGTGACGTCTTTATAAGCAAATCAGAGCACACTTGTGTACGTACGTAGTTAATATACCTAACGCTAGGTTCTTTACTATGTATTTATGTACATTTTACAAGCAGATCAATCCTATAGGGACGGAAATGTAATTTGCCAATGAAAATTAAGTATGTCTATACCTGACCTGCATAAACAACAAATGTCGCCTCTGTTGAATTACGAAGCAAAAGCTTAACTAGATTAAATTACCCGTGAACGTTGTTATATTAACAACATCTAAACGATATTTGGCGTTTGACTTCTAGAAAAGCTTTGAAAGCTCTTTCAAAAGCAATATATGTAAATAGGGCATGCTTTGCTCTGACTGTTATTATGGTTATTACTACTTATGACAAGCTTTTATGTTTGTAAGTTGTCCTCTAAAAAATTAAAAAAAAAACATTTGTACACCATTATGATTTTATTTATTTTTTAAGCATTTAACTGCTAGATGTTTAAATCTAAAGAAAAGTTTACTAGAAAAAAAATCCACGCGGACCAGGCAGTGGACGGGACTCGAACCCGCATCATTCGCTATCCGGGCGAATGCACTGACCATTATGCTACCACGGCCCTATTAGCCGCATCGAAATTTTCCTAGCCTTAAGCTGCAAGACAGCGCCATCTCTTCGCATTGTAGGTAACCCACAATGTCAAATGAATACTTTTTCAAGTATAAGTTCCGCTGCCTGGTCCGCGGGGATTTTTTCTAGTAAAATTTTTCTTTAGATTTGTACACCATTTTTCGATAACTTTATGTTATTCGATTTAGCAAAAATTTGACATCCTACTTATGTTACTATGCAATAATATGTAGCTGCGCTGATGAGACAGCTGAAAGCATAGGAACTCTGTAATGAAACGATGCAACCCAGTCAAATTTGGGCTCGTTTGATTCGTCTTGACGAGTACTTTCCGGGGTCCGGCGATGGAGCTGGAAGCGGAAGGCAGCCATAGGAATTCCGTTATAAAACGGCATAGGCTTCGGGCTCGTATGATTCGTTTTGATGAATACTTTGTCTCTAGAAGGTATCCAGTGAGCAGCGGTGAGTCCCAGTAGTGAGGAAATTAATAGGCTGATGAAGAAGAAGGTATCCAGAACCTGATGGTGGAGCTGGAGGGGGTCATATGAAGTCCGTAATAAAACGACACAACCCCATCTAGTTTGGACTTGTTAGACT